CCCTCCTCCCTCCTCCCTCCTCCCTCCTCCCTCTGCAATGGTCCCGCTTAGAACCACTGCCCTGATCGTAATCCTTGTTGATGCTACTCTCTTCTCTACTCTGACACGTGCCAAGATACTCTGTTGGCGTTCGGGTCGAATCTGAGGGCAGTGCTGGTGCGATGCTGATCGCACTGTGGTGATGAACAGGATCTGTTTGTCAGCGGGCAGTTCGCTGTCCTGCGTCTCTCGGACGCACACCAGAAGTCCAGCGTCGCTGAGACGCTGCTAAGGCTTGAGCCAGAACGGTTTCGGATGAACCTGTTCTGGGATATTATAATGGGGATCTCGAGGGATCTCGGAGGGCCTACTAAGCAAGGCTAGCTGCAGTCTGGAGGCTAAAGGGGGCCCGATTCGCCGGGAAACGCTTGACTAACATACATGGGGCTCCTTTGGAGCCTGAAGCTTATATCACGCACGGCCTCTAGAGGCCATCTGTCGTAAGTAGGCTCTAGTGAGGCAGGCTCTGGGCTGTGAATTGCATGCCCAAAAGCTAACAGATCGATCGTTACGGCATGCTGAGACCTGCCTCGCTGGCCACTGAATTCACAGAAAGCACAGAGCGCGTGAGAGGCTTCACAGTGCCCCAAAGGGCTATATCTCCGGCAGGGGTCTCCTGCTCGTAGGGATTGTCGCGAGCGAAGTAGATCAGGGCCTCCAGCATAGCTTCATCGTCGTCTGCTGATAACGGCTTGCCGTGGTCCAGCCTGTCCATGCCCTCGGTCTTGCGCTTCCTGGCACTGCGGTGCAGGGGGTCGTCCACGAGTCTCCAGCGCTGACCTGACCGGAAGAACTCCAGCAAGACCTTGGCGGCTCGATCCTTGGTGAGGCCGTCGGCTAGCATGGCATCGCTGTGGACCCAGCGTATCTGGAGGGCCGTCTGCTCCTTCTGCTGTCGAATGCCTAGACACTCGATGCTCGTCCGCTTGTCACGTAGGCCGAGACCAGCTGACTCTCTCTTCTCGATCGCGTCGTAGCCCGACTTACCGTCTGTGACCAGTACGCCAGGGCAGGATGAGATGGCGTCGTTCACGTGTTGCTTGTTGGTGTAGTCCACTTGGCCGCACTCTAACTCATAGATGAACAAGCGCACGTAGCTGATCTCGTCGAGGGTCTCTGTCATCATCTGAACCTCCGCACTCGTACTGCTTCTGGCCACTCGCGGTAGCTTGCATGATCTCCATGAGATAGGCGCTACCGTCTCTGTCGAGCCACTCAGGAAAGACAGTGGTGCCAGCACGATCATCTCGCCACCCTGGGACTCGCCAGTAATACGAGCGGCCCAGGCAGCATCGCCCCAGCCAACCACAGCGATCTGCTCGATGGCCGGGATGAGCATGACTACGTCGGCAGTGTCATTCATGGTGCGGATCAGCTTGTTGATCTTCTGGATGGTAGAGACCGTCGCCGTAGGTATCTCCGCTTGGAGTAGAGAGACTTCTGCACTGAGCCACGGGGCCGACTGCTGAGCTCGCCATCCGACTGTACCAAGTCGGCCTCGTAGATCTGATCTCTCTTTGTCTGAAACTCCTTCCGTGGGCTTGCGTCCACGTCGTATCTTGATGGGCTCCACGTTCAGGCTGTAGCTGTCCTGTGCGAGACTGCAGGTGTAGTCCTCATTCTGTCGAATACTGATGCCGCACTGCACAAACGCTCGGCTCTCCCAAGGTGTCCACTCGAAGGCCTGTTGTATCTGCTGTCGTTTCTTGAGGAATGCCGAGTTGTGATGGTCGCCGGCGATCATCATGTCGTCGACGTGTAGGATAACCATGCCAACCAGCTTCGTGCCGTCTCGAATGACCCAGACGCACGGCTCGCACTGTATCACTTCCAGCTGCAGCGTCTTGAGCGCGTCCTTGAAATGGAGCCACCATTTGCGAGGAGCATGTACAAATCCGTACATAGGCTTGAGGAACTGCAGGACCTCGTCGTCTTTCATGCCGAAGGCCTGACGCACATCCTTGGGCGGGTCCGCGTAGATCTTCCTCTTCTCCTCGTCCGTCTCGCCCTGGAGAAAGGCTGTCACTGCATCGGCCTTCTCCAGTTTCCACTTGTGTCTGGCTGCCATGGCCAGTAGAAGTTGACGTGCACGTCTGGAGGCAACGGGTGATTCTGTCCGTAGGTGCAGCAGGTCGGGGTCGCTGAAACCGAGCACGACCAGTCTGGCTTTGCCTCGTAGTACGTTCCCCTGGTTATCCTTCTTCCAGGTCAGCACGAAGCGACAGCGCAGCAGGCGCGCCGGGTCGATCCCCTGTCGGCTGAGGATCCTGACGGCCTTCGTGCTGAGGACTGAGGTGCACTCCTTCTGCTGGGCCTCGAGTAGCAGCTTCTTCTCCTCAGGCGTCGCCTTCTTAAATGAGACCTCCACTCGGCCCTTGCGGGCCTGCGATGCCACGAAGTTGCTGGGATCGTCCATGTAGGCCATGAACGCATGCTCGTTGCTGACAGGGATGTCCAGCACGATAAGTTCGTCGTTCTCCTTCATATCGTCGTACTGCTGGACACTGTAGGCATAGTCGCTGTAGAAGTTGCCCTCCTGCAGGTAGTAGGAGAAGGCCTCCTGGGTCGCAGCGTTGACCCGCTGCTTCTTAGCCGGGGGCTCGGTTGTGCCGGGCTCTCGGATCCGGCGCTTATCGTTCACGTCGGGCGCCGAGATATCGTCGAGGTCATCGTCAGTCTCCGCCACGATGGGCCGCTGCGACGCGCGCTCCTCCTGGTCGTCGCCGGGAGGGGCTTCCATGACGATCTCCTCCTCGATGGGCTGCTCAGCTGCCTCGGGTAGTCCAGCTTCGTGGCCGCCTTCCTGTAGAATGCCTGGGGGAGCTTCTGGCTGAGCTGGCTGGATGAGAGGTTCCTGGACCTCGGTTGCCTCGTTCCAGGGATTACCCTTCTTCCTCATACGTCTGGGAGGTCGCGGTCCAGGTAGAGGTCGCTCTTCCAGTCCTGGTGGCGCCGCCAAGGCTCCACCACCTCCGCCGCCTCCGCCGCCTCCTGGGTCAAGACTGCGAGGATCTCCTTGTGGTACAGGACGATCATCGTCTTCAGAGATGGCCCAGGGTCCGCTCGCGTTGCTCTCGAAGGTGCGGGCGCTGACCGATTCACCGTCATCAGCGGCCAAATCCTCGCCAGTGGGCGGGGGCTCGTTCGATAAGTCGATCACTTCATTGGTGTCGAGCTGCTTCTGGACATCGCCGAAGGTCCAGGTCCCCGGCTGCTCGCGGCGCGAGCGTAGGGAGTCCATCGCCTCCTCAGAAGGCGTGGCAGGTCGAAGTTGTTCTGGAGCAACTCGGTAGAGGCGGCCAGCCAGTGTGATATTGACCACCGTTCCAGGTAGACCAGGTCGGTGTCCCGAGCTCGCTGGCTCGTGACAAAGTACTCGTCCAGGTCCGTACCAGCGTCCTCGCCCAGGCATTGAGCGAGGCTGTCCCTTCTTGCGCCAGGCCCCTGGTGGGAGCCGTCGGTAGACGAAAACCAGATCGCCCGTCTCGTACTTCTTGAAGGACCTGAAGCGCGCGGCCTCCGCTCGCTTGACTCGGTCAGAGTTCTCGGTCTGGATGTGAGCAAGCCGCGCCATTCGTCGTACCTGGGCGTCCCTGCTGAAGGTACCGTCCTGCAGCTCGGCACTGATGAGCGGCAGGTTGTTCGGCTCGTCCGACAGATTGACTGTCGTCCCAGTCGGCGTCCGTCCCGCATAGCGCTGCAGCGGGCTGAACCCGTCGATCCTGATCAGGTCGTTCCTGGCCGCCGTCTGGAGTCCGAACATCTCGCTGGTGGGTACTTCGGCTGAGACCATCTCGTCGAAAGCGTCGAGGGCCTCCTTGAAGGCTTCAGTGGCACGCTCGATCTTGCCGATCTGCCAGTGGGCGTCGGCCGCGCATGGGAGACAGTAGACTCCCTGGCTCTCGATCCACTCGCGGAACTCGTCGGAGATGGCGCTGCCGGCAGGGTCGTAGCGCATGACCTTCGGGCGTCCCATCCAGGGAAACCATTTTGTAGCAAAGATATGCCGAAGGTCGCCTGCACGAAGTTGCCGGGTAGTAACCGGGATCGGCTTCTCGTCGATCAGCCGCACGTAGAGGATGTCCGAGCCGGCGTCGAGTATCGCCAGCGCCATCACGTTCGTGTTCGTGCTGCGACGGATCCACGAGAAAGCGTCAAAAAGCACCTCGTGACCGTTTTGGGGCTGCTCTGCTGATGAGGCTGGCGGCCGCTTAGTAGGTGGTCGATGTGCGTCACATATGTCGCACTTGAAGGTTCTGGCCAAACGTAGCACCTCTGGCCGGGCGCCACGGTCGCGAAGGTATCGTAGTAGATGAGCTCGAGGTAGGTGTCCGAGGTTGGTATGAACCAATCTGATGTAGCTCTCGAGCTTCTTGACCGTCTCGTTGGTGAGGTTGTGCGCTTCCTTGCCGTCTCGTGGTGGAAGAGTCGGCTCGTCCTCCTCTGGCGTAGGCTCTGTCGGTGGCTGCTGGGTAGCTGCCATGCAGAGGCAGTTCACAACCTCGTCCTCGAAGTAGTTCTGGTTCTGGCTCTTGGTCAGAGCCCTGAGGATCCGGCGGCACAGCATCTTGGGGTAGGAGCCCGAGGCCTCGGTCCTCAAGCTGCTCTCTATCTCCTCGTGGTAGTGTCCTCCACGGCACTGTAGAGGTTGTAGGGCTACCCAGATCCTCCTGTCATTCGTCAAGAACTTCCAGCGCTTCTTCATGAGCTCGCCCGTGTCAGGGGCTCGTAGTCCGCAGGCGCAGCCATCCACGATCACCTCGTACGGTAGGATCTTGTGGAGATCCTTCCAGCAGGTCTTCTGCCACGAACGACTGTTGTGGGGCTGTTCGGCGAGGGCCGAGCCGTTCAGGTTGAGCACCTGGTGCTCGATGAGCCTCTTGTTGTTCTCGAAGATCCGCTGGCTCTTGAGCCGCTTCCTGCGAAGGTTCTCCTTCTGTTGATCGTTGCGCTGGTTGACATTCTGCATTATCGACCATGGACCGCAGGGTGGTGTACTGACGAAGAGCTCCGGGCGCTTCTCGTCTAGCAGGAACTTCGCCTTGTGGTAGCCCTGCGGCTTGCTGAGGTCGTTCTCGTTGAAGAGGCCGAGCCGCTCGTAGTGGTAGCCCTTCTCGTCGCACACCTTCCCGAGATTCGAGTCCTCGTGGGTGCACGCTTCGACCATCGTCAGGCGGCCGAAGGTTGCGAGGGCGCACATGGCTCCGAAAATGGCCGACCTCGTCGTATGTGTAGCTGCCCGTATCGCCTGGCGCTGGTGGCCCTTCAGCGGCCTGCTCTCGTCGCCGCGCCACCGAGACCTCTCAGCCTGAATCTCACTCAGGCCTTCGTCCTGACCGCACACGCCTGGTGGCACCAACCGTAGAGCCTCATCTTCACGATCGGCTCGTTTTTGGCGATGCATCGGCGTAGCTTGCAGTCCGGGTGCTGGCACATCTGAGTGTAGTGAGCTGAGATCGCCGGGCCCACGGCCATTGCCGTCGTCTCCATCTTCTTGGTCTCCGTCTCCTTCTTGATCTGGATAGTCGCTGCCGCCGTGCCGCGCTGCTCGATGATGTACGCGATGATCTTGTCGATCACCTCCTCCTTCTTGCCAGTCTGGGTCAGTCCCCACATCTTGCACAGCGGCTTGAGGTGGTTGACCAACGTAACCATGCTGAGCTGCTCGTGGATCTGCTCCGAGCTCAGCGCTGCGAACGCATCCACCTCCGCAAACTTGGTCAAGAAATCTAACTTTGCGGTCTCGATGGTGGCTCGCAGCTCTTGATTCTGCTCGCGCGCGGCTGCTGAGGCTGCTGACTTCTGGGACAGGGGGCGCTGCTTCGGCTCCGTGCACGGCTGGTGTGGCTCGATCTTCGCACGATGCTCGATGTCCGCCGGCCAGGTCGGGTACCTCTCGGGTAGCAACTGCACAGGTAGTCCGAGGCTGTCCAGCTTCCAGTTCACACGATCGATCGTCTTGATGAAGACCTTCTGGATGATTCGCCCCCAGCGACGGCACTGCGTCCACTGCTGGAGAAGCTTGCTGGACCACATCTCCCAGTTCGGTAGGTGCTCCTGCAGGAAGGCGTCCGTCATCCGCTTCGTGCTGTTGTCCTGCTCCGAGCCCTCGATCGTGTAGAAGATGTGGCCCCTCGCGTCCTGATGAGCGATCAGTCGCCCCTGCGGCTGCATCCGTTGTAGTGTAGGCCGTGCCGGCGTCGACGTGGAGGTCGCCGCCGATGATCCCGAGTCCCGTAGCGAGGCCCGAACATCCACCTGCTCCCAAGGGCCGTCCATCTCCTCGTTCTCCAGCTTGATCTGCTGGCTCTCTGCTTTGCGACATTTCGCCTCGCGGTTGAGGCTCATGCGAATATGTAGGGCCAACTGGATGTTGTCGGAGCTCAGGGCTCGAATATGGAAGTATTACTGGTTGCTGGAATCGGAGCTCTGGGCTCGAATCGTTCGCACCAAAAATGGCTCTGGGAGACGGGGATGTTTCTGTTTGGAGCTCTGGAAACTCTGGGATCTCAGGGAAGGCCTCTGGAGATAACCCCGATAATGCCGTAGGTGATGGAGCCGGGGCTGATACGGATGATGTCCCGGACGTAAGTGATGATGTCCCCGACGTAATCAATGATGTCCCCGTACTGTAAATGATGATGATGTTGCTGTAGGCGTAATTGGTGATGGTGCCCCCGTACTCGTAAATGATGATGATGTACATGAGGCCTGTAGGGCTCCATTATCTGGGACCTCGTCGGGGAACTCCTGGGGCACCACTGCAGACGGTTTATCGTTCTCGCTTTGGATCGGCTGCTCTTTTTCATGTTTTCCCTCCGGCACCGTAGCAGTCTCGGGTGTCGAGGGCGTGGACCCCTACTCGAGAGATGCCACGAAGCCAAAATCGGCTTGTCGAACAAGTGGCAGTGCAAGATGACCGCTCGGAAGGACGAGCAGTTCAGCTCGGCGCCCGAGCTTCTTGAAGTAGACAGAATGTGCCTCGCAGTCGATCACAGCTCCTAGGCGGCTCAAAACATCCACTCCGATCAAGAGCGGGGCATCTGCGTCGAGGATGTTTATCTCGAGCTCGCCGTCCACACCGGCGATCCTCAGAGGAAAGGTTGCCTTGCCGGTGCAGGTCTTGGCGTTGCCATCTCCAAAGATAAAGGTACTCTTCTGGCTAACGTCCATCTTGATGTTCTTGCCCGTCTGCTCATAGATGATATCGCGTAGGTTCTCGGCAGCCTCGATGCCCATGATGCTGGAGGTCGCGCCGATGTCCAGAATACCGAAGCCCTTGGAGGAGCTCTGCTTCACACTCATGAGGATCCAGTCGTCTAGCTTCTCCAGGGTTGGCCAGCTCGGTAGCTTCACATGATGGACTTGCTCCTGCCTCTCGATGGATTTCTCCACCTCTAGGTACTTCGTCTTCTCGAGCTGTTTCTTTGGAAGCTTCGGTCGATTCTTGATCACTGGCTTGTTGTTGAGCGTCGTCTCCAGCTCCAGGCGCGAGGTCTCGTTCCTGATGAGATTCGCCTCCATCTCGGCGTCCTGCTCGGCGCCGAAGAACACGTAGGCTCCGAAACCTCGCTTGGGTCGTTCACGATCTTTGCTGCTGGTGGAGGAAGCGCGGTCTTTATGATCCTTCGTCTCGCGATTGCCGCCACACTTCAGACAGGGTCCCTTGCGGGGCGGCCGGCCCTGGGAGCGATCTCCATCACGTCGGGGTGGTACATCACGTCGTTGTCCGCTCCCTCGGCCTCGTCCTTTCGATGATCCAGAGCCTCGGGATCCAGCTCGAGGTCCCTGGAACTTGCGCTGTCCTCCGCGTCCTTCTCGCTTCTTGTTCTCATCCACGGGGTAGAACTTCCTGGCGGTCTTCACTCGTCGGAGTAGATCCCGAGCTTCTTCGAAACTGCGCTGCTGGGCGGCGAACGCGGTCTCGGCCTCCTCGATCTCCTGGGCGCTGTAGAGCGGCTCCTCGGGATCTTCTTCGTCCTCGTCGCCGTCCGCGTCCTCATAGGTGGCCTCCGACTGGTCGCCATCGTAGTAGCTGTAGTCGTCGTCGTCCTCGCTGTTCTCCTCCCAGCCGGCGTGGATCCGACCTCGCTCGCGATGGCGATGGTTGTCCTTGCCGTGCTTCTTATCTCTGTTCGTCAGCTCGTCATCTGGCCAAGATACTCTTAGCTGCTCGCCGATGCTGTCGTAGTCGAAGTTGCCTTTGACTGCGCTGATAACTGCCGCACGCTCCGTCGGGGAAAGTCTTGATCTCTGCAGCAGTAGCCATCCGCGCAGCTGGTCAAGGGGAATCGCCTGTTTGAAGTCGGTTCCGAAATCCGGATGCTCGGGGATCTCCTCAAGACCTGTTCGGATGAAGCTCCAGAGCTGGTGGTTCAACTCCTTGGCCTTGTCGGCGGCGTCCTCCGGGCCCTCCTGCTCGATCTTGTACAGGAACCAGTTGAGCTCCGAGTAGAGGGCGTTCCATTCTTTTGACCTTGCCGACAGCCGAGCCGTGCGCTGCTTCTTGAAATACTCGGTGTCGAAACCCTTGACCACGTCGTGGTAGGCCTCATCGTCTCTGCTGATGTAGCTCGGCATTGGCTCTCCAGTGTCTCGACGAAGATCGAAGATCCATCTGGCCAGATATTTGCCTGCATCCTGGATGGGCTGGGCACCGAGCTTGGCGCGAATGTGTCGCAGTAGCTCAGCTGCACCGTCGTCTCTCTCAATGCGGTCCCAGTCCACATCCTTGGCTGCTTGTCGTGCTCGACCTTCCAGTCGTCTCCACAAACGAGGGCCGCATACATATCGTTCATCTCGACGGGTGCCTCGGATGTAAGCTTTGACATCTCTCTCGTAATCGTCCACCGTGGTGAGATCTCCGTTCCACTTCGGTATGATGTCATCGTTGTTATTGTTATTCCTCGTCATGACTCAAACGATGAACTTCTATCCGTGAATCTGTTGTCCGTGGAGCTTGATAGCTCCGCTACCATGCAATGGTCCCGCTTAGAACCACTGCCCTGATCGTAATCCTTGTTGATGCTACTCTCTTCTCTACTCTGACACGTGCCGAGGGTACTGTTGGCGTTCGGGTCGAATCTGAGGGCAGTGCTGGTGCGATGCTGATCGCACTGTGGTGATGAACAGGATCTGTTTGTCAGCGGGCAGTTCGCTGTCCTGCGTCTCTCGGACGCACACCAGAAGTCCAGCGTCGCTGAGACGCTGCAAAGGCTTGAGCCAGAACGGTTTCGGATGAACCTGTTCTGGGATATTATAATGGGGATCTCGAGGGATCTCGGAGGGCCTACTAAGCAAGGCTAGCTGCAGTCTGGAGGCTAAAGGGGGCCCGATTCGCCGGGAAACGCTTGGCTAACATACATGGGGCTCCTTTGGAGCCTGAAGCTTATATCACGCACGGCCTCTAGAGGCCATCTGTCGTAAGTAGGCTCTAGTGAGGCAGGCTCGGGGCTGTGAATTGCACCCTGCGGCAGCTGGCAATGGCATCGCTTACGGGGCGCCTACACTCGCACTCAGTCGCCATAGTTGCAAAACTTGACATGTAAAATCCACTGTTGTCGGGGTTGGGGTCGCCCACTGCCCATTGTTGTAGGGTCACCAGTGATTCAGGAGGGGACATAACACGCAGACGTAATGAATCGCCGATTCCCAGGAACATGTTGGAAAATCTGGGAAGTGGGAGGGGAAGACGGAAACTTGGAAAACATGAGCAGATGTGGGGAATCCTGGGATTCGTGTCTATCTCTTAGTGCGTCCCTGGGCCCCTAGGGGCGTCTATTTCTCAGTGTGTCCATCTCTTGGCGTGTCTATCTCTAGCGCTTCTAGTCTTAGAGCTTCTATTTCTAGGTCTTCGTGTTTCTATGTGTCTTCCTCCCGGCCTTGCCGTGAGGCCGCGCTCCTTCTGTCCCCCCCTGTTTGCTAATTCAAGCTTCGCGCGGCCCGCTTAGCTTCGACCGGAAGAGGCGCGCTTTCGACCCGCGAATCAAAAAACGTGTTTCTATTCTTCTCGGTGCGCCTGCTCCTCAGTGCGCAGCGACTGCGAGGAAAGCGCGATGGGAGGCCTCCGCCCTCGCTGCTCGCCCGCGCCGCGGCCGGCCGGGGTGCGCCGCGAGGCCCGGAGGCCGTTCGTGCCCGTGGCGGGCCGGTGGTACTCGCCGGAGGGGGAGGCGCCCCGTGCCCCCGGCTGCCCAGGGAGGGGGCGAGGAGGGAGGCCCAGGCCCCCCTCGTGCCTCTTCTCCTATTCCTCCTCCTCCTCCTCCTCCTTCCTCCTCCTCCTCCTCTTTTTCCTTCTCCTCCTCCTCCTCCTCCTCCTCCTCCTCCTCCTCCTCCTCCTCCTCCTCCTCCCCCTTCGAGAGCCCCGCTCCTCCCTCCCGCGCCCTCCCTCCCTTCTTGGGCGGCGCGCCCGGAAGGGAAGCGGGAGGGGGGGCAGAGCCTTCTCCTGGGGCCGAGCCCCACAACTCTGCCCCACATCTTGCGCCTCGCCTCTTCCCTGAGGAGCCCCCCCCCCACCCAGGTCTTGGGCGGCGAGGTCTATACATATCCACTGCTCCCCGGCCAGGCCCATCCTGAGCTCACGAGCTGTGTATACGCCCTCCTGGCCAAGCCAGGAGGGCGTGGCGTATGCACCGCTGCTGGGTTCAGGCTGGGCCTGGCCAGGGAGCAGTGGATATGTATAGATCTCGCCGCCCTAAGGTCGTTGCCGGGTGGGAGGGGCAGGAGAGGCTCGCACGGCGACAGGCATCGCCTCTTACAGCCGATAGCAGCAGCAGCAGCAGCAGACCCCCTCGAGCCATGAAGGCGTCACGACGGGAGGTTTCTGGCCATCTTCAGCCACTGGGGGCTCTCACCGGCCCTCGGGACCGTCAATAAGCGACCCAGGAGGAAAGACCGGTCCCGGGGAACGGGTCGAGACATCCAGGAGTCGACGCAGCGAAAAGTCATGGCGTCGGGGGTCTGGGAAGGTATCCAAACCGCTACCTTTCCTCGTTTCCTTTTTTTGACCTCCTGGGAGGCCTTCGTCGCCACCGCCGGGTTCGCCTCGAACTTCTGGTCAGAACGCACCCCGGGAGAGGTCCGGGGGGCAGCGGTATCGGTACCCTTTGGTCTTCCCAGGGAGGGGGTATACCGCATAAGCGCTTCCAGATCCATTGCCTTCCATTTTTTCCTCCTCTTCTCCTCCTCCCCTCCTCCTCCGCCTCCTCCTCCTCTTCCTCTTCCTCCTCCTCCGCCTCCTCATCTTTCTCCTCCTCCCATTCCGCCTGCCGCGCCCGTCGCGTTCCTCCCCCCTCCTCCTCATCCCCCTCCTCCTCCCTCCCTCCCGCCCGCCCGCCCGCCCGCTTGCTCCTCCTCCTCGGGATCTCGAGGGGAGGGCCAGACTCAGGACAGATTGGCCGTCGCTTTCTTCTGCGTGACACCGTGGGTCTGGGTCATCGGTGGCAACTCATGGGAGCCTCCCGTACCATCTTGTCGGCTCTTGCGAATCGACACTGATCGACGTGAAACCGACGCTAAATCGACGCTAACTGATGTTAGCCGACGCTAGATGGGCGCCTACCTCATCGACTCCAGACGCTCATCGACGCCAGTCGACGCTAAAGGCGAAATCCAGAGGGCATAATTACACCAGGCTCCCACGATTTGCCACCGAGGACTCTCCCGGGGTGCGGCATGGCCATACTTTCGAGGGGAGTCCGGCCGTGGCGGCGAGGGTGCCCCGGGAGGCCCCAACCCCGAGGCCCGACGTCGCGGAGAAACGGCAGCATCGCAGCACAGCAAGGCGGGAGCCCCAGATCCCACCTTTCTGCGGCATTTTCCGAGCTGGACCGATCTGAGGGGGTCCCAGGGGCCCGCAGCGGGGCGACAACACCCGCTGTGGAAAAGACATGCAGCGCCAGGATCTCGCGGACGAAGGATCAAGCACATCTGACAGGTGGCTCCTTGTGCCCGAGGCGTGCGACCTGCTTATCGAAATGGGGCTCGACTACAGAATTGATGCACCCCAAAGCTGTTTTTCCCGCCGAGTCTACGAACTATACGCATATAGTGTCCCGTATATCTACGAGCATTCTACGCGTCCCCTTTCAGTTCGGAGGGAAAATCAATCCTGGAGGAAATCAATTCTGTAATTGATCCCCGGCTCGAGCTCAATGCTAACCCCCCTGACCCCACCTCGGACTCCATCCAGGCCCGCTGTTCGAGCTGCGCCCGCCGGGGGGAGGAGGAGGAGCAGGAGGAGGAGGAGCAGGAGGAGGGGCCCGCAGTTCGAGCTGCGCCCGCCAGGAGGAGGAGGAGGAGGAGGAGCAGGAGGAGGAGGAGGAGCAGGAGGAGGAGGAGGAGGAGGAGAATGAGCAGGAGCAGGAGAAGGAGGAGTAGGAGGAGGAGGAGGGCAGGAGGGGGGGGGGAGGAGGAGGAGCAGGAGGAGGAGAGGAGGAGGAGGAGGAGGGGCCCGCTTTTCGATCTGCGCCCGCCCTGGGCTGCGAAGGTGCCCCCCCCCCCCCCGATGGCCTGGCGAGGTGCAGGAGGGCAGAGCGGGTGCTCTCGCCTCTTCGGCCCGCGCCACCACCGTCGGGCCCGGCGTGGGCTTGGGGCTCCTGCTCGGCAGGACGAGGATGATGATGAGAAGGCAGGGAGAGGGAGGAGGGAGCGGAGGAGCAGGAGGAACGGATGATGAGGGGACGGAGGAGGAGGAGGAGAAGGAAAGGAGGAGGAGGAAGCGTAGGAGTAGGAGGAGGAGGAGGAGCAGGAGTATGACCATGCACGAAGACAAGTGCTGCACTAAGGCACAGATGCTTCGCCAGACAGCGCCTCCGTGCGCCTGCCCTGCGAGGGAGAGGATGACGATGAAGAGGAGGTCGTGCACCCGCCTCTTCGGTCAGTGCTTCCATCGTCGCTCACTGTCGTCTGCCCGCCCTCGTGCCCGAGTGACGAGGAGGAGGAGGAGGAGGAGGAGGAGGAATAGGAGAACGAAGGGGGGAATGGGGAGGACGATGATGGTGATGATGCGGCTGCTGCCAATGATGAGGATGATGATGAGAATGATGGTATAATGGTGACCATGATCATGATGAGTATCATGCTGACGACCATGCTGCGGGTGATGATGACTACGATGATGATGATGATGCTGCTGATGATGATGATTGATGATGGCGGTGCTGTTGGTGACGACGACGACGACGACATTCAGGACGACGACGAGGGGTGGAGAAGAGAGAGGATGATGACGAGGTGGGGGACAGAAGGATGATGAGACATTGAGGGGAAACGAATGGTGACGATCATGTTTGTGATGATGATCGTAATGTCGATGTTAACTGCGATGATGATGCATACTATGAAAAGGATGACGAGGCTGATGGCGATGATGGTGACCATACTGCTGATCAGGAATACGCTTTACATGTAGCTTGCTTTATATGATGGTGATGACGAGGTGATCCTGATGCTTATTACGAGTATGACTAGCAATGATATATTGTTGAAGCTGATGGTGATGATGATTGCGATGGTGATACTGATGGTGCTAATGAGTGTGTGGATGATGATGATGACGATGATGATGATGATGCTGATGCTGATGCTGATGATGTTGATGATGATGCTGCTGATGATGATGATGCTGATGATGTTGCGGCTGCTGATGAAGATGATGGTGATGATGATGCTGATAGTGATGCTGATGGTGCCGATGTTGTTGATGAGTATGGTAGTGGTAGTGATGGTGATGATAGTGATGATCAGGAGGAGAGTGGGGAGAGTGGAGAAAGGGAGGTCGATGAGAAATTGAGGAGGAGTGGAGAAGGAGGAAGAGGAAGAGGAGGAGGAGGAGGAGGAGGAGGAGGAGGAGGAGGAGGAGGAGGAGGAGGAGGAGTTCGCCCCAGATCCTGAGCCCCAGGGGCCTCTGCAGAGGCCCGGGAAGGCGCCGCCCTAGGCGCCAGGAGGCCCCTCCAGAGAGCACACACGATCCACCCCTTCCAGGAACGGCCAGCCCTGAGACCCAACGTTGCGAACAAATTGAAGCGTCGCAGGAAATCGCGACCAGAGCACCAGGCCCCATCTTCCTGCGGCGTGTTTCTCGAGCCGCAGCGTTTTGTGAGGGCCCCGGGGCCCGAAGCGGGGCGAAGACACCCGCCGTGAAACACAACTGCAGCGCCAGGATCTCGGGGAGTGCCCGGGACAAGACTTTGCACTCGTCTCGCCTCGCCGATCCTCGAGTGCCGGGCACGAGGTTTCGCACTCGCCTCGTCTGCCCGCGCCGCCGGCGTCGCCCTCGTCGCCCGCGGATGCTTCTGCTCGAGCTGGCGCGGCCCAGCCCCTCCCACCTCCACCGTCCGGCGCAGGGCCGCACCTCCTCCTCCTCTTTCTCCTCTTTCTCCTCCTCCTCCTCCTCCTGCTCCTCCTCCTCATCGTCCCTTTACTCCTCTCTCTTCGTCGTCGTTGTCGTCGCCGTCGTCGTCGTCGTCTTCCTCCTCATCTTTCTCATCTTCCTCCTCCTCCTCCTTCCCTCTCCTCCCCGCCCTCCTCCACCTCGCTATCATCGTCCCGTTCCTCTTCGTCCCCCCCTTCCTTGCTTCCTTCCCCCTTTCTCCCTACTGCCATTCTTCCCCCCCCCCCCCCCTGTCCGTCCTCCTACTCCCGCCTCCCCTCCGCTCCCTTCGACTCAGTTGCCCCCCCGCCCCTTCCCCTCCTCCAATCAGTACTCGTCCTCTTCCTCGATCTCGTCCACCTCGTCTTCGTTCTCCTCCCGCTCCTTTCCCAGAATCGTTCAATATGTTTTCGATGCGATGCGCGAGCATGAGCAGAATCAGAAGGAGCTGGCCTCGCAGACGGCAGAGCAAGCCGCACTCCGTGCAACGGCAGCCCCCGATGGAGGTGCGAAGCTCTCCCTGGATGCGCCTCTTACTGGTGGGAACTCTTTCGGTGGGCTGGTAACCCGTCCGCGTAATGAGTTGGATGAAGAGGCTGAGCTCGAGCAGGAAGACGAGGGCGCGTTCGCTGCAAGGAAGCATGTGCTAGAGGAAGGGATCCAACATATTTCCTCCGACGTCTTCGGTGTTGCGAACCAGGAGGTTGCCCAAATGCAAGATGAACACGAAACGCGGTTGACGAGGTTAATTAGCCAAGAAGAAACACCGGACGAATGAAGGAGCTGTTGCAGGTCTGGGAGGTGATGGACCTGGGGGCGGCAGTGCCAGTGGCCATGATGCTGGCGCAGCGGCTGGCAAACCTGAGCATCCCGCAGGTGAGGGATCAGCAGGGGTTGATTCGAGTGGTGGCGCTTAAGGGTCAGGGAGTGGCGTGGCCCTCCCAGCACCAGAGGATGTGCCCACACGTTTCTCTCGCGCCAGAGCCCACTTCCACCCAGCCTCTTCTGCCAGTGCCTCCCCCGCCTGAAGGTGCGGGTGCGCAATTTCCCAGGATGGCACGGGTCCGGGGGAAGATGCTCGAGTAAGGTCCTCGTTTTGTCACCGTGCCGATCCGGGGTCCGGCGGTCACCTTCAAGAGTGCAGTTTTTGTTGCCAGAATTGCCTGTCCTCCTGAGGGGTGGCTGTCCCAGCAATGGGACAAATCACAAACAACTAGAACACGTTTGAAACACTGTGGTATTCTTTCTAACCAGTATGATACGAATTGCAACCAACCTACATGACAAGCCTTTGCGAGGCGTCTGCGAGGTGTCTTACAGGCGCCTCCGAGAGGAGTTCCACAGGCATGTTTCAAACGCCTGCGAGCGTCTTACACGCGTCCTGCAAGCGCCTCAGCGGGGCGCTCCACAGGCGTATCACAAGCGCCTCTTGGAGGCGTCTTACAGGCGCCTTTTCAGACGCGTTTGCGATGCGCGTGCGACGCGTCTTAAAAGGCGCCTCTGCGCCGCGTTTTACAAGAGTGCCTGCGAGGCGTCTGACAAACGTCTTCCGTGCGCTTCTACGAGGCGTCCGCGAGGTGCCTGTGAGGCGTTTCACAGGCGCGTCTGCGACGCCAGGCGACCCTGCGAAGCGTCTTACAGGCACCTCCAGAGACGTCTTGCAGGCGCTATGAGAGGAGTCTTACAAGTATCCGACAAAGTGCCGGCGAGTGGCGTATTACAGGCGTCTTACGGGCACCTCTCCGGGGCGTCTTACAGGCGTCTCACAGGCGCTTCTTGGAGGCGTCTTACAGGCGACGTACAGGTGCGTTTGCGAGGCGCGTGCGACGCACCTTACAGGCGTCTCTGTGAGGCGTCTTACAGGCCTGGTACAAGGGTTTTACAGGCTTCTCACAGTTGTCTTACAGGCGCCTCTCAGGAGGTTCTTACATGCGCTTCTGGGGGGCGCCCTGCTTACGTTTTACACGTGCCTTTGCGTGGCGTCTTACAAGCGCATCAGAGTGGCGTCTTACAGGCGTCTCTGAGAGGCGCCTTACAGGCGCATCTGAGAGATGTCGCACAGGCGCCTCTGGTAAATTTGCGATATAAGAAAAAACCTGCGTGGCACCGGCGCCTCTGAGAGGCGTCTTGCAGGCGCCCCTGATAGGTGCTGTATATGCGTATTGCAAGCGCCTCCGCGATGCGTGTTTCAAGCGCCTCTGCGAGGCGTCTAGCCGGCGCGTTACAGGCGCCTTTGAGAGGCGTCTGACAAGGGCTTCTTAGAGGCGTCTTACAGGCGCCGCTGAGAAGCGTTTCTAGCAGGCGTCTTACAGGCGACTCTGAGAGGAGTCATGCAGGCGTCTTGCAGGCGCCTCTTGGAGGCGTCTCTGAGAGGGGTCTTACATGCGTCGTGCAAGCGTTTCACAGGCGTCTCTTACATGCGCTCCTGGGAGGCGTTTTACTGGCGGCTCTTGCGAGCGCTTCTGAGGGGTATCTTGCAGACACCTGCGCATGGCGCTCTACAGGCGTCTCTCCTTGGCGCCTGAAAGAGACGCCCGTAGATCTTTCAGGCGTCTCTCTCATCTGTCAAGACTTCTACGCGCCCCAAGGAACCGCGCAGAACCCACGGGGATTGAACGGACTCGTGTGATTCTTGAAGAACTCCCACGGCGTCTCGAGGAATTGTTTCTGGGGGGTATCAAGGAACCCTGCGGGGCCCCACGGGGCTGCGATGAATCCGAATGCACCCGGGGGGATCTCAAGGCTTCAATCTTACGGCCTGCTACGTAATGCCAAGGAATCCAGAATAATCTTCAGGCCTGCGCGCAGGGGCTGCGGCGCGCGTAGGCTCCCCGGCGCAGCAGAGGGATGATAGAGGGGCAAGATAATAAGGATGAGATAGGGGCTGGGAGCAACGCGACAAGTTTCACACCCCCAGCGTTCGCAGCCAGGAGTTCCATGCATGACCGCCGCCACCCGCATCCACATCTGGGTCTTCACATCGCCGCAAGACGTCTTGGTTCAAATTCCGACCCGGACAGTCGCGCTAGCTTTTGGAATTCAAGTGCACGCAGAATCCGACCGTTTGGTTTTGGAATATGTTGTCTTCGCCTCGCACTGGAAGTCATTTTGTGATGGCCAGTTTGTCCTATCGCGCTGGTTGGGGAAGTCCCAGTTGGTCGGGATTTGCCTCAGCTGGTTGGGGTTCGTCCGAGATGTGGCCCTTTCCCCCCCTGACCAGCTCGGTCTCGTCGTCGCTGCGATCAATTGCAGCAGATGGGGTCTGTGAGGGATTGGTTGCCAGCTTGCAGCGGCAGTCGCATCATTCTGGTTAAGGGGCATCGTCTAGGTGATCCGGACTCTATCTGGCGGTCGTCTGAGTTCTGTTTGGACCACGGGTGGGAATCGATGCAGCAGGCTGTCCTGCCCGCGCCTGGTGGATGCATTTCGGGAGGAGCCACGATCCCGGGGCGTGATTTTCTGGGCATCCATCCGCCGTCGGACGGGGCATTTATTTACGAGGTCGAGCAGTTGGAGTAGTGGCACATCTCCTCGGGGGCGCGCCTCGCCGTGCCGCCTCCATCTGCGGTTGCGATATTGAAGGGCTCACCCGCGGGCAGCTTGACCTGCCGGGGTCAGCGGGCACGCGAATTCCGCTGTAGAGTAGAATCTTTCTCCTGGGATGCGAAGTCATTCTCGAGCCTGGGTCAGCATGGCGCCGGGTCTTATCGAGCAACTGAAGTCTTGTGTTCTTTCGTCGATGAAAGGGGGTCCTGGCGCGCGTCGGTGCGAACGGAAGCAACCTGGGCGACTTCTTCATCTCGCAAGGCGTTGCCAAGGCAATAGAGCAGGTCGGTCTGAGCGGGGGCGCCCCAGCCCGCGCTCCGCGATTTCAGTCGTTTTCTACTCTCAGCCGCGCCGGCTCCGAGCTCTTGGCCTCTGGGGGCAAAGTTCTAGAAGGGGTGCGCTTCTCGGAGGGGCGCAATCTTCTCGGGGGCGCGGTTGGGGGGGCCATTGGAGCTGAGGAATACATGAAGAATCGCCAAGACCAACGATGCGTCGATTCCTTCTGAAGCGTTTGTTCCTTCTTAGGATTTCGAAGTTTTGAATGCGCAGGGTCTGATTTGGTCGCCGACGTGGGCCAGTGGTGCAGCGAGCAACAGGGCGCCCTGACCTCGCGCGACCAGGCCCACTGCGAGTTGGCCGAGAAGGACGGGCACGCCGGGCTCGCCACAGAGCTGGACACAGGAGCCCGAGGCGCCCACTGTGCGATCAAATGCCTTCAGGTATGGCGCCCACGGGGAGACCCTCGGCGGGGGGGCAGCTCGTCTCTGCCCCGCAAGCTCTCCCGGGCAGGGAAATTCAGCGCTGTTCTGGTCTGCGGAAGATTCTGAAGAGCCGCCCCCTGGAGGTCAGTGATCTCAGCGGCCCTCGGCCCGACGTCTCCGCGCAGGACCCCGGGGCGCTCGGCGGGAACTGCCCCGAGAGGAGCGCGGTCTCCGTCGATGGGCTTCATCTACGGCGTCGCCGATTCATGAGCGTCGAGTCGCTGGCGCTGCTCGTCATGTCATGCCTGTCGCGGAGCGCGCCCCCATTTGCCTTGGTCAAGTTTGGGCTGCGACGACCGCCCTGCTCAGCAAGCCCTCGGGGGCCGCCGGCCCACGGGGCGCGTTTTCCCAGATTTATTTGCCGGGGGGAAAGCTCGGGGCCCCCGGGCGGAGGCCGAGGGGCATGACAATGGAAGCGGTCATTTCTCGGCAGGCATGGAGGGGGCGTTGGCGTGGTCCGGCGCCAGACGTCCAGTTCTGAGTGCTGTGCCAGAAATGGCATGTTCAAGAGCGTCTGTTTTGCGGGGCGCAGCGAGGCGCCGCGCGCTGACTTCCCCGCCCTGCAAGTCGCATATTTTTTGATGCGTTTGGATGCGATTGCGCCCCAGCCTCAGCGGGAGCCGCGTCGCATTTATTTCGCCCAGAAGAACGCGTTATAGATGCGGATTTTAGATTCGCTGCTCCGGTCTGCACGGGGGCGCCACCGTATCGAAGCGCATTTACTTGTCCAAGCACATCTAAAAATAAAGGGCCGCATCCAAAACAGGCAACGGAAGCGCATCTACACGTATCTCATTTCCCAGGTCTACATCTTGATGCATATCTACCCAAATCTAATTTCCCACATACAAAGACGCTGACGCACAACCTTATCGCCCCTATCCCCACGCATTCATCGCCACAGCTACTCGCCCTGCCCTTCCGCATCCTCCATCGCTTTCCCTTCGTCGCCATCGGCGCCCCTCTCAGTGGGCCTTCCATAGTTCCTGCTCGCATGGGACCTCGCCCGCATCATCTTTACATGAATCAGGGCCATGACCAACATAGTCGCCATCTTCATCGCCATCCTCTTCTTCATCCACCTCATCCCTCTTGCTCGCATGATTGCCTCGCTCCTTTTCCGCCTCGCCATCCCTCCTCGGGATGAGGGCGGGCAGGGGCGAGCGCGGGGCTGGAGCGCAGGGGTCGGGGGGTCTGGGAGGAGGGGCGACGAGAAGAGGTCGGGGAAGGTCAGATGGAGACAGACGGGGCGCAGCTATCCGAAAGGAAACTGTTGCCACCACTGTCGGGGGGCACGCCCTCGCTTCCCTCGCGCCCTCGCCCCCCTCCGAGACTTGCGATCCTCCAGCGCCCCCCTCGCTCGAATTCGCTTTCCCCCCCCCCTCCTCGCCCCGTCCCTCCGTCGTTTCTTCCAGCCGCGCGCCGTGGCTCGAGGGGAATTCCTCTCGATCGCCCCAAAGAGGGGCGGCTGGCAAGCGAGGGCCAGCAACAAAAATAACGGAGAACAAAGAAACGAAGCGGCATGAGGATGGCGATGGGCCCGTGACGGGGGTGGGGCAATGGAAGGTCGCCGCATCTAAACGGAATCATTGAGATCAATCACGATTCCCCACTCAAGGTGTTCATGGGCGCCGTGCCTAACAATGTCCAAACGCACCTAGACGCATCCAAAAATCTCACCGCATCAAAAAAATCCAGACGATTCTTGGCGCGCGTATCGAAACATTTTTAACGCAGTATCCATTCGCATCCAAACATATCCAACATTTAGAAGCTATCAAAACGTATCTAAACGCATCTAATTCTATACCGAAGGCGCTGCCCCCCCCCAAAAAAAAACGCCCCCGAACGCCATTGTTGGACGCTGGCTGAGGCATCTGAAATGCAGCGATTCCATAGGAAAGCGCGCTGATTATAGTTACGCGCGTCTTTCGTGCAGGGGGAAGGTTGGGAAGTGAGAGCTCCCCGGGGGGAGCGTGGATTCCCCGGTGGGGCCCTCGGCGCGCGCGTCTCGGCGGCCCGCGCTGCTCTGCGCGCGGCTTCGGCCGGGCTGAGCTCCAGCTTCGCGCGCGCCGCTCGCGGCGCCGTCGTTGGCCGCGGCGTGGCTGTTGGTCTGATTGGACCTCGCGGCTTGGATGCCTTCGACGCTGTTATGTTTTTTTGGTTTTTGCGGAAGTGACAGCGCCGGGAGCAGGCCCGACGAATGGGGCGGGGATTTCGCGAATCAAAACTCGCGCAGATTTTGCGCTTATTGCTGACGCCAGCTCGTCGGCAATCGGCTCAACATTTCTTATTCAAGGCGATTCTTGAGACGGTTCATATTCCGCGCTGCGCCATCGCAATCGCGATCGGCGGGAGGGGGGGGTGGGGGGGGCACGGGCGAGGTCGCCCTTGTCTGTCCCTGCCCCGCACCTGGGGCGGAACTCGAAGCTCGGCTCGGGCCTCTCGGGAAGCAACGCGCGTCGGCTGTCAACCTGTTGGCGCGACGCCCATCACGGGGCGTTTTTTGCGATGTGGAGGGGGGGGGGGGGGGGGGGCGATGCGGCTAAACGTCGCGATCGTTAGGTTCGACGTCGTCTGAATCCTCGTCGGCCAGAGAAACTCAACGGTCACCTCAGTCGGAAAGCCATCGGCGCGTTCGCCAGCGGCCCTTTGCCAGGGCCGAGTTGCGGATCGTAGATCGACGGCTTGACAGGTGGAGCGACCCGCGCGTTGCGTAGACAAGCCGCCAGAGAGGTTCGCAGCCTAACTCTGGGAGTCGATCACTGACGATTCTCACGCCCCTGGAGGGGGGCCCTGCGCGGCGCTCGCTGGTCGCGCCCATTGCGAGGTGCTGCAATGTTTTTTTTGCGGTCTGGGCTGTCTCGCGGTGGAGCGTTTTCCAGAGGGGGCAGGCGCTGGGGCCTTGCGTGGAGGAAAGATTCGGGCCCGATGTCTGCCAGGTGCCTCTCTCTTTTTGGGGCGCGTCAACTGGGGCGCAATGGGCCATGCCTGCTGCGCTGGCGATTTTCAGGAACGGGGGATGCTTCTCGCGCGCTTCTGTCGCTGGACACTAAGACTATAGATCATCTTTCGGCGGCGCGGTTCTGCGCGCCTCTGTCCTGCGGGGTTTATTTTTCGGTTGTTAGAGAGGCGCGACTCCGGTGAGCTCGTCGAAAGTGGTGCCTTTCCAGGCGCCGCCTTGGTCAGGCTTTCCGCCCGCGTCGGGGCCCGCCAGTTCCGCCCGCCCAGGCGCCGGTCCACATCGGCTTTTTTTTTTGGGGGGGGGGGGTCGAAAGGGCGGGCGCGGGGGTGGCAGGGGGGATCGCGACATGTCTCTCGCATTTTCTTGCTTTCTGAGAGCAGGCGCGCGCAGTGCTTCTGCTGCAGCGCAATCTGGGCAAGACGTCGCTCTGCTACGGAAGGCTGCCAGGTTTCGCCACCCCGCCCGCTCTGCGATGGCAATGGAGATATCTTCTATCACAGAGCTTGGGGGCGCGCGGGGGCATCGCTTCAGGGGGGCGGGGCCGGCGGGCGGCGGGGCCATCGTGGCCGCGTCGGAAGCGCGAGAGCAAGCTGACCATGACCTTCTGAGCTTTACCATTGGCGCGCTCCCTCGCCCCGGGGGCGTCTGCCCTGGGCCGCGGAGCCAAGTCTATATGCGTGGTGCCGCGGGTGAGTTGGTCGAAAGTGCGACCCTGGAGGCTTCGACTTGGGGGGGCCTCGGATGGGGGCGCCTTCCAGGGGGCGTTCTCCATCGCGGCGCCGGTTGCAAAGCTGTCCTTGGGGAGATTGGCCGGCTGGGGTTTCTTAAAAGTCTAGGGAGAAGGACTGGTGCTCATTTGGCGTTACGGTGGTCCCGCTTGGGACCGCTACCCGCAGACTTCTCAAGCGGGGGAGCCTTCCGCCTCGGCAGCTTGCCTGATAATGCTAGCGTTGCTGCGTTTGGCCGCAGGGCGGCCGACGATCGGCATGCCGATCACGGGATGCGCACGGGGTCCAGGATCCCAGGTCTCGCTGGGATTATCGGCAAGACGCAGAGCGTCGTCGAAGCCGCTGCGCACAATGACCAGTTGGAGGAAGGGATCTCTGAATCTGAGGGGTACCGCGCCGTAGAGCTGGCAACGACGCCGCTGGCAAAACTGCGAAGCTCGGGGCCCAGTCTTATCCCAGCCGCGACCCCGAGCCCAAAACACTCGTTGATAAGTCAGAGTGAGGGGGCCGAACGGTCATTCACTGTCCCTGGGTGCGTGGCTGAAGTGGAATTCCGCGGTTCGGATTCTCGTTGTTGTTGGTTGTTGTTGTTGTTGTTGTTGTTGTTGTTGTTGTTGTTGGTTGTTGTTTGTTGTCGTCGTCCCGCCCGCAACCCGCCCCGCGACCCACCCGCGACCCACCCCGCGACCCACCCCGCGACCCACCCGCGACCCACCCGCGACCCACCCGCGACCCACCCCGCGGCCCACCCCGCAATCCACCCCGCGACCCACCCCGCGACCCACCCCGCGACCCACCTGGCGACCCGCCCGCGCCCACCCGCGACCCACCCGCGACCCGCGACCCACCCGCGACCCACCCGCGACCCACCCCGCGACCCACCCGCGACCCACCCGCGACCCAAACCACGTTCAAGGTACAAACCACCATTTTCGGCGCCTGCGGCGGGCTCTTTTTGCATTCCTTCCAGGTGGAGAGCCCGCGACCCACCCCGTGACCAACTCGCGACCAACCCGCAACCCAAACCACGTTCACGGTACAAACCACATTTTTCGGTCCCTGCGGCGGGCATCCGTTGCATTCGTTTCAAGTGGAGAGCCCGCGGCCCACCCGCGACCACGTTCAGGGTACAAACCACATTTTTCGGCGCCTGCGGCGGGCATCTTTTGCATTCGTTCCCGGTGGAGAACCCGCGGCCCACCCGCGACCCAAACCACGTTCAGTGTATAAACCAATTTGTTGGGCGCCTGCGGCGGGCTGCTTTTGCATTCCTTCCAGGTGGAGGTGGAGAGCCCGCGACCCACCCGCGACCTAAACCACGTTCACTGAACAAACCAATGCCGCACAAGCGCGGCGGCGGATTTTTGCATGCCGTCTGAGCCCGCAAGGACCTCTTCAAGCCCCGCGCATCCACACCAGCCCGTCCAGCAACTTTGCCCTGGCGAGTTGCCTTGATCAGAGAAGGCGGGGAGCATAAAGTGGAAAAAAGGATTGCGTTGCAGTTATCTTGGGAAAGGAGGGGGAGGCAGGATGGAGTAAACAGGGGACGAGGAGAACGCGGAAGAAGAGAGGATGTAAGGAGAACGTGGAGAAAGAAAAGGAGGAGGAGCAGGAGGACGAGGAGGGGGAGGAGGGGGAGGGGGGAGGAGGAGGGGGAGGAGGGGGAGGAGGATGATGATGATGGACGACAATGGGAGGACGATGATGGAGGCCGATGAGGGGGAGGACGACAATGGGAGGACGATGATGAAAGGACGAGGGGGGGAGAGGGAGGACGAGGAAGAAGAGGAGGAGGAGGAGGACGAGGTGGAGGAGGAGGATGACGATGACGATGAGGACGAGGACGAGGACGAGGAAGAGGAGGAGGAGGAGGAGGAGGAGGAGGAGGAGGAGGAGGAGGAGGAGGAGGAGGAGGAGAGAGCGCCATCGACAGGGAAGGTGGGGGCCACGAGGTCCGCCGGCTCGACGACGCCCGCGTCGCCCGCGCCCGCCCCCTCACTCTTATCCGCAATTGCGGGGTGCTACGTAGATCTAGGTTTCGTGCGCCGCAGCCCAGCTGCCCACCAAAGTCCCCCCTCTGTGGCCTAAGCTGTGCCAAGCGGATGTCGCGTCTGTCAAACCTGTCTCTGCGCCTGGTCTGTCCCAGGATCCACGTCGCGCCTGGGTCTAGATGAATTCTTTCTGACCGCGCACTGTCTGCTTCCGATGGAAGAGAGAGGTCGATGGGCCTCCTCTAGGAAACTTCGTCCTTCCCCGTCGTTTGAATCCCCAGGTTTTGGCGCAATCACAGTTGCGCCCTCTCTGATTGCACAGTTGTGTGTTGGCGCTTGTTTGGGTTGCCACCACTGCGCCACAGGTGGCAGGGCGGCGCATCTCGCAATCCCGTGCCCGTGGACAGATGTCGGAGCAGGGCGCGGCGACTGGGGGCATGCGTTTGCCGGGCGTTACCCGCGGATGAAAACGAAGACAGGGAATGTCGAATTATCGCCCTCGCCTCGGTCACTCTGAGAGGGGGCGCGTAGCCGTGGATGCCCGAAAAATACCCCATCCACCCCCCCCGGTATACCCTTCCTTGCGCGAGGCCCTCCTGCCCCCGCTCATCCTCGACAGGTACACGTCGTGAATGCTACCCCCCTCTTTCCCTGGACCCCGTCCGCGAGGTCGCCGGCCCGGCCCTCTCCGCGCGTGGATTTCACGCGCGCGCACGTGTTTTCGAACGTCTCCGTTGCGCTCAAATCGTTTTCGGCCTTTCGAAAGGGTGCCCCCGCCGCGCCGCTGGCCCCGCATCCGCGCTTCTGTTCCTTGAGGTCAGCGCCCCTGGCGAAGCGCTGGCTTTATTTTCAGATCGGCGCGACGTTCCCGCCATTCTGAACTGCTCGAGCCATTTTGGTTCAAGGTTCAAGCGAGCCACGCATTTAGCTGCGCGCGGAGGGCGCCCGGTCGCGGGTCGCCCCGCGTCGTCGGGCGCGGGCGGGCGCGGCGCGGCGGCCGCGGCCAGCGCCGCCATCGCAGCCGATGCCGCTTGCAATTGCTCTGCCTTGATCTGTTCTCTCTGGCTCGCGCGGCCCGTTGTCCACCGGCGTGCCGCGCGCGCGCGCGCCCGGTGAAGAAGGGGCTCGGCCTGGTCTTATCTCGCGCCTCCCCTGCCCCCTGCTCAGTAGCCCTGCCTTTCGTTTTCTTGCGTCTTTGCACGTCGCGTTCGCGGCCGAGGATGGCCCTCGCAACGCAGGCAAAATGAGTGGGTCGCGTTGTTATGGGCGCGCTCTTCCGCTATCGAACGCCGCGCGCGTATCTGCGTCTTGGCCCGGCGCCGCCGTCGCAGCGCAGGCGGCCTCCGCGCTCCTTCCCCTCTTCGCCTTTTATTATCCACCTGCCGTGTCCCTCCCCCCTCGCCCTTGCGTGCGCTCGCGCGTCGCACGCGCTGCGCCCCCGCGCAGGTCCCTTGTTTGGTAGAGGCAGCATGCTCAGGGTTAAGGGTATATGAATGCGCGCATCTTTGCCTCCCGCCCTGCAGGAGGGGGCCCTCCGCTGGTGACTGGGGCAGCCGTCGACGGGGGTGTCGTCTGGAGTTGAACGCAACACAATTTATCTCCTCTGCCTTCTCGCCCCCCTATTCGCGCGCGCGCGTGCGCGCGTGCTTCGTGCGTGGGTAGTGCCATGCACTATGCAAGTGGTCGTTTTCACGTTTTTCTTTTTTGCAACGGGTGCCTTATTGAACTTGAATCCCCATGCCTTCTGTCGCGTACGGCGCCGCCGATTTTCCCCTACCGCGCGCGCACAGGGCCGCGTTTGCACATGGTTTGCACATAAATGGGTCTATGCGGCGCGCATGTTTTTTTGTCTGGCAGCGGTGGGCGGGGTTCCGCCGGCGCCCCGGGGGGCGCGCTGAGGGGGGTCGGCGCCCGCGCCTAGTATTTGCCAAACCCGCTCCCGCTCCTGCTCGTGCTCCTGCTTGTTGCCGTTGCTGCTGCTGCCGCTGCTGCGCTGCCACTCTCGCCCATTATGCACTGCGTGCTTGTGTGCTGGGTGCGTCGTCGCTCACCCCGTGCCTGCGTTGCATTGCCCGGTCCGTCCGTCCGTCCGCTGCGCCCCACCGGGGGGGGGCGCGCGGCCGGGGGCCTGGCCGCCTGGCCCGGGCGGCGCCCGATCGCGACGCCGGTCCTCTGGCTGGGGGCCAGCGAGCTGCATGCCGAGCGGCGGCGCGACCAGGCCATCCTTCGCGATGAAGGCTCGCTCGGAATCTCGGCGGCCCGCCGGGCCCTGGGGGCGAGGACAGGGCCCGGCAGCGTGGGTTTTACGAGGACTTGCGGCCGCGCCTTATAGACTTCTCCATGATAGTGGAGAAGGTGACTTCGCAATTTGCTTTGAGGGGGCGCCCGGCGCCCGATCCGCCGAAGACGCTCTGCGGACGACGGGGGTCGCAGGCGAGGGCCGCGACGCCCAGGCGTGGGACGTCGCCCGGATTTTGCGGCGCGCGCGACCGCGGCGGGCGCGCGCCTTGGCGGCTGCAGGCCTTCTCGCGGCCATCTGCCACAGAGGTTTCGCATCGCAGTTGCGCGGGCGCGTGGAGAGATGGATGGGCGGCGAAGACGCGTCGCCGGAGCTTGGCCTTGCGGGGGCCACCTCGCGCGCGGCAGCAGAGGTAGTTATTCGGGAGATTGGCGCCCAGCGGGATGCCGAGCTTTTCGCTCTTGTCTTCCGCGGGCAAGCGCGCCGCGCTCGCGGCCAGGTGGGCAGGGCCTCGAAAAAGGTTCACAAGAACGCTGGCTTCCAACAGGTCTTGGAGAACGTGGCGCTTCGCGCCGGTCAATGGCCCCTGTCGCTGCTCGCCAGATCGGCTGGCTCTTTCATGTTTCTCGCGCGGCGCCCAGCTCCGGGCGCGCGCGAGCCCCCGACGCCGCTCTGGCCCAAGCCGTCGCCGGGGTGCGCCTGAGGCCCGGGCGCGGAGAGCGGGTTCCAGCTGCCGCGCGGGGTCTCAGTGCCTGCCCAAAGTGCGCTTCACTGGCAGCTCTGGTCACTGGCTTCGATGCCTCGCGCGCCTGGTCAGAGGAGCCCCGCCGCATTTTCAAGGAGCTCGCACGCAAGTGGCGTCGAACAGCCGGGGGCCAGACACAGTCTGGCGCCCAGGGCCTCCCTCGCCTTTCGCAGGGTTCGGAGGAGCTTGGCGCGGCAGGCAACAGTCGCGTCCAGTTCGCGCATTAAGAGATTTCGAAGTTATTGAAGTTCGCCTCTTCTTGAATTCCATCTTCCCGCGTGGGCCGGGTGCGTTTGTTGTGGGCCCCCGGGGCGCGCTGCCCGCCTGGGGCCTGGCTGGCAGGGGCGCCGCTGAGGCGGGCGACGACGACGACGCCGACGAGGGCGGCGAAGCCCGGGAGCTGGGCGAGGCGGCCGGGCGAGCGGCGCGCGCGTGGCCCTGGAAGGGGCGGGCTGCGACGGCTGAGACAGCGCGCGCGGCCCCCCTTCCTCGCCCCTCCGCTTGCTCGTTTGGCGCGGTGCTTGTTTTCCTTTTTGGCGTCGGGTGGGCGTTGGGGGTCCGTCTGCGGGCCCAGCGCCGTGCCGGGGCGGCCGCGGCCTTCGGGGCCTTGGGCCCTGGGTCCGGGGGCCAGGCGGCGCGTGTCCACGAATGCCGCAGGAACCCCCTGGGCGCCTTTTTGGGCAGGCGTCGCAGGCCGCGTTGGTTCTCGTCGCCGTCGCCGTCGTCGTCGTTGCCGTCGTCGTCTTTGCGCGGCTATTACCCGCTGTCATTGTGCGCGTCTTTCGATTTCCTTAGAAGTTGTGCGTGCTCGCCGTATAAATTTCAAGCTAAACATGCACCGTGCGTTCTGGCCGCCGCCCCCCCCGCTCCGTGCCGCGGGCGCGCCGCGCGGGTGCCGCGTCGCGCTGGATTGCGCCCAGTTGTGGCGCCGAGCCCGTGCTGCTTGGTTCTGGCGCGGTGCCGTGCCGAGCCGTTTTGTGCCGCGTCTGTCCTCGAATGCCGTGTCGCGACTGCGCGGCGACTGCTTGCGCCGCCGGCCGTTTGCCGGGCTGTCCTCGGTTGGCCCGGGAGGGGGCGGGCGCCCCGCCCCTCCTCCGCCTCCTCCTCCTACTCTGGGGATAGGAAAGCGGCGCGGTGCAAAGGGGCGCGGTGCCATGGGATGGATCTGGCGAGGCCATCCATCGTGGCATCGCCATTTCCACGATTGGCACCGCGCCCTCTTATGCCGCAGCCCTTTCCGAACTCCCCCTCCTCCCCCCATTCCCCCCATCCACAATCATTCAATATGAATACTACTCTCCGCCTTCCCCTGATGACGGGTTGGGAGCGTTCGCCCCCCCCCCCCCCCGCGCATTGTTTTTTCGCACGCAGGATCCCCCGGAGTTGGGTTTTCGCCAGCATTTTGTCAATATGCTGCTCTCGCTGAGGCGCCGGCCTCATTTTCGGGCCCCGCTCGTTCCGAATCGTGCTCCCGCTGCAGCGCTGGCTTCATTTCCGTGATTCCGCTCGTTCCGAATCGTGCTGCCGCTGCTGCGCTGGCTTCATTTCCCTTGCTTCCGTTCGTTCCGAATCGTGCTCCCGCTGCAGCGCTGGCGTCATTTCTCATGCCATGCCACGGCATGCAATGCAATGCTAGGTTACGTTCCGCTGCGCGATGCCATGCCTTCAGCTGAAGCTGTGATATGCAGTGCTTAAGTGCCACATCGCGCTATGCCATGCTACGATTTGATCTTCAACGCCATGCTATGCAATCTTATGTTCGGGGCCGCTGTGCGATGCCATGCTTTGCGTTGCAAAGCCTTGTGGCGCAATTCTTCACTACGCCACGCCACGCCATGCTGCGACATACTGCGCTTTGCGGTGCCCTTCTACGCCATGCCATGCCGTGCTCTACAATGCATCGCGTACCCTTTCGGGGTCATTGCTCTGCTCGACCTCCGACTGCGCGAGTAGGGAGGGGATCTACGCCATGGTAAGGGATGGGGGGGGGAGGGGTAGGATGTCAGATATGACGCGAGCGCACCTAGCTTGTCCTTCCCCCTCCCCCGCCCCCTGAGCCCGCCCCCGGAAACGTCGCCCGTCGTGGGTCCGCCACTTCTTGCCGAGAGGCCGCAGCTCTTTGACATTGCATGTATCTCGCGCGTTGCTGTGAGGTGGCGCACGCTTGATTAATTGAAGCGGAGGTCGATGCACATCGGCGCAGTTGTTTGCCTGGGCTGCAAGGTTGTACGCGTTTGCCTTCGCGTGTCTTGAATCGCTGTTGTCCTCTCGCGTATTCCCATCGCTTCGCGTGGCCGCCGCCCCTGTGCCCCAGTGCCTCGGCGGGCTGCCGCCGCGCCCTGCCGCGCCGGGTTGCGTTGCGCTTGGGGCGGCGATGCCGTTGCGGGCTGCCCCTGGCTGTCCCCGCCTGGCGCCGCGCCGCTCGACTCTGCTGGGCTTCGCTTTCTATCCCCTTCCATGCAACTTCTCGCGCCGTCGGCCGT